AGGGAGACAGTGGCAGAACCACAGTTAGTTCTTGTCTAGTGGTCTGGGAATTGCTGATACTCATAGAATATCAGGGTTGGAAGGGACCTCAGGAGGTCATCTAGTCCAACCCCCTGCTCAAAGCAAGACCAATCCCCAACTAAATCATCCCAACCTTCTCACCCCAACTGCCTCAACCTCCTTGAAAGGACATACATTAGGGCACAGTTAGAGCGAATTGGGGCTTCTATTTCTCAGGCTTTATTGCTTAATGAAATTCAGGGCAATTTTTTGGGGCAGATACATGGAAAAGGAAAAGGCCAATTTTTTGTGCAGCCCAACATTTAATTATTTTCTTTTAAAACATTTGTGGTGCCCTGGGCACTGATGTCCCCGTATTGGTGCACAGTGTAAGAATGGGCTGTTATAAATTAATAGATGGTGACTTAAGGCCCTGACCCTGCAAACACTTATGCACATACTTCACTTTAAGCACAGGTACGGTCTGTTGTCAGATGTTCGGCTGGGTGTATGTGTTCTCTCCGTGTGCCATCCCAGCTCTGCGCATGCAGCCAGCACAGCAGATGTCCATTGAACCGCTCAACGATCACAAGATCCGTTAAAGTACAAAGGCATCCGGCCAGGTTTATTGTCAACAAAGCATGATAGTAGTATCCCGCAGACTCTAGCGGACCATTACTACATGTATGCCCTTAACAATGGATGCAGCTCAGTGAATGGAGGGACCTTCCATTCCCCGCTAAGCTAGACAAAGACATCCCTCCGAGGTACCATTTTATACACCGATACAAACAAGTTCCCTATTGCCCCTCTGACATAGGTAGTTACTGCACCCTGATGTGGTTAGTTACCAACCTCTGACATGGCTAACCACCACCCATTACCTTGTACCTGTTGGTTTGATCAATACATCTCTATCCATCACAAGGTCATCATCTTTAGGAGGGGTCAGAGAGTTCTCATTACCTTTTTTTTCTTTGGGGGGGGGGTTGTACCATACTTGGTATCGGGGTGTTCTGGTACCACCCTTCTGGGATGTGTTTGCACGAGTGTCCTGTGCCTAGCTTTTCTTAAGAATGTGTGTTTTTGCAATACCAGCCCTGTTCTTGCCAGGTTCTGTGAGCTTGCAAGCAGGCAGAGTTTCTGTTAACTTTGCTTCATATCAGCAAAGCTTGACCACTACTTTAGCTCAGGCCTTAGGTCTCAGACCAGGCTTCTGATACAAGGCCTTATGTCTCAGGCTCTCTTTCTACTACATTCCCCCACTTTTTGCCTTTTTATGGGGAAGATGTTTACCCATCGTTCTGGAAAAGTATAATGCATGGACTGAAGATGACCCAGTGGGCTAAACACTGTTATATGGCCACCTTACTTTACCATTCATACATTCATGCCTCATCTGTCCCTTGGTCTACACATTCCCCCACATGACTGATGGACAGATTTTCTTTTCAGTCCCTTTTGGTGGGCCTGGGAATGTTAGGCCCAGGACTTCGATTGAGGAATGTAGTTTTATGATTGATCCTTGGGGTCACTCCCAGATAACATATATGGATATGAGAGCCTGACTTCAACTGGGCCTCCAGACATTACCATAATCCAAGTAAATAATAATCTTTGAATCTCTCCAATCCCCCTGTGAGACTATCCTACAGAATGACAGATTACCCATTATTAAGAATTCTTCCCTGATATTCAGTCGTAAATCCCCCCCCTCCCCGCCCTTCTTGTCATCCCACTCTTCATTTTATGCCTTCTTCATACCACCTTGAACAATTTCTGGCCTTCCTTGGCATTTGAATTTGCAGACAGTTGGCACCCCAGGATGTTGCTCAGCCAAACTGAAAAGATTTAGCTCTTTTAATCTTTCCTCAAATCAGTGCAGACAGCAGCAGAACCACATAATCCCCAGCACAGATGAACAAGGGCAGATTTAAACCTACTCTTCTCTTTCCTGTATTTTTCTTTTGCAAAGCTACTCTTAAACCTCTGATTCCTTGAGTCATATCCCCTCCCACCCCTGCACAGGTACCTTGCTCGGTTTCCTCTGGTGCTCCTGAAGAAATGTCGTCTCCCATTTTTTCAGCAGGACTTTGACCTCGTTGTATCTGTCCATGGTTCCGAAGGCCTGACCCTGCTCTGAAGAACTGCACCAGCTGTAAATATTGCACAGATCTTCAGATTAATCCTCTCCAGAACCAGCCCTTTGCAGTTTTATTAACAGGCAGATATCCCCACCGCTTTCTGCTGAATAGTATGAGGTCATCATACAAGCACCAATCTACAGGCACATCCAGGAGGAAGTCAGTGTGATATAGGGCGAAGGCTCTGACCACTTTAGTCACTGCAGATGGTGTCTGGCAGGAAACTGCACTTTAACAGCTAGTAGTGGGTACTTGCCACCAAGGCTGCTAATCCGCTTGCTAACTCAAGTGGTTCATGCTGTCTGTGCTCCATAGATGGGGCAACGGGACACATCCCCACTATGGTTTGAAATCAGTGCAGTCTACCGCTTCGCTTCCTGTCCCAAACTGAGTTCCCATGTGTTAGGATATAGATATTCAGGCCTGTCTGTAAAGGCCTATACTCTAAGAATTTAGGTGTATTCTTATCACTTGGCTAGTGATAGAGGTATAAAAGAAAGAATCAAAACCACTGTCTGCCAGTGTAAGGGCCTTCTCTTACTCAGGCCTTTGGCTAAGCAGCAGAGGCAGCCATAAGCTGGGAAGCGAACGGTCACATCCTCACATTCCAAACTAGTCACATTGAAATAAGGTGCTATTGGGCTGTTAGGCACTATCAGGACAGGATTGTATTCCTATCACCTCCAGAGAAAGGGAAGTGCCTAGAAAATGTAAAAGGAAACTTAGTTTGATAGCATCCTGTCTGGCAAGAACTCACTTATCAATAGCTGGGATGTGAAATCCTCACTTCTGTATTGTTTTGTCATTATAGTTCCCACTTTGCTGTTAAAAGAAAAGGAGTACTTGTGGCACCTTAGAGACTAACGAATTTATTTGAGCATGAGCTTTCGTGAGCTACAGCTCACTTCATCAGATGTTTACCGTGGAAACTGCAGCAGACTTTTCCACGGTAAACATCTGATGAAGTGAGCTGTAGCTCACGAAAGCTCATGCTCAAATAAATTCGTTAGTCTCTAAGGTGCCACAAGTACTCCTTTTCTTTTTGCGAATACAGACTAACACGGCTGTTCCTCTGAAACCTGTCACTTTGCTGTTGTTTGTCTGTATAATCTCTGTCTGGTTCTGTGATTGTTCCTGTCTGCTGTATAATTAATTTTGCTGGGTGTAAACTAATTGAGGTGGTGGGATATAATTGGTTACATAATCATGTTACAATATGTTAGGATTGGTTAGTTAAATTTCAGGAAAATGATTGGTTAAGGTATAGCTAAGCAGAACTCAAGTTTTACTATATAATCTGTAGTCAATGAGGAAGTGACTGGGTGTGGGTGGGCGTGGGCATGTGGGTGTGTGAGATGGGAACAGGGAATGGGGGTAAGAAAATTGGAATCATGTTTTGCTAAAGGGGGAGATGGGAACAGGGAATGGGAGTAAGGAAGTTGGAATCATGTTTGGCTAAGGGTAGGAATGGGAACAGGGACACAGGCGTAAGGCTCTGTGGTGTCAGAGCTGGGAAGGAGGATACTAAGGAAGGAAACTGGAATCATGCTTGCTGGAAGTTCACCCCAATAAACATCGAATTGTTTGCACCTTTGGACTTCGGGTATTGTTGCTCTCTGTTCATGCGAGAAGGACCAGGGAAGTAAGTGGGTGAAGGAATAAGCCCCCTAACACCATGTTCCACTCAAGAAGGGAGTGCAATATTGTCACAGTTGAAAGCAACTGCACAAGTATCTCCCCTTAGTGGCTCAGCAAGGGCACCCACTCTCAGGCTCCGAGCTCCACAGCTGATGCCTCTCCAGGGTGGAGAATCTGTGTCTCTTTGCTGCCTGAGCAGGGTATTGTCAGGGTGAAGAGTTCCCTGCCTTCCTTGTAGTTCCCAATAAAGACTGTATGGCTAAACAGACCTGCCTGCTTTCTCTTCAGAGATGGATAACAGAGGGGTTGCTACAGATTACCACCCAGAGCTTTCTAAGCAAGCCTACTTTATTCTTAAGGTAAAAAGCATTACAGAGAAGACGTGTTAAAACAATGAAAGAATCTACAGCCGTACTGATCAGCTTACCAGCGTTCACCCCAATTCTAATGCAGGTTCTGGCAGGATAAGCACTTCACCCCTCCTCCCCAGGGGAGTCTTATCACAGCTTCCACTCAGAACAAGCATCCTCATGACAAGTTCCGTCCACCCTCTCGTACAGCTCCATGGGGTCTCCGATCCGGAGTTTCCAGGCGCAAGTCACTAGTATACAAGGGGTCTCTCTTGCCGTAAGAGGGGGAGAATTTGCACACACCCCCCCACCCCAGGTATTCCCTAAGGAAATCCACTTTACAGGTATCGTTCCACAAAGGCCTCTGAGCTGCCTCAGACCTCCCAGAGGGGAAACTGAGGCACAGAAGGAGAGACTTCACCAGGGTGACACAGCGAGTCAGTGGCAGAGCTGCCAATAGAACCCAGGCGTCCGGGACCACCTGAGAGGAACCCAGGCGCTCGGGCTCAGCCCCCGCCTGAGGGGAGCCCTCTCCAAAGCCCGGAAGAACCCAGGCACCTCCCCGCCGCCCCCGCGTTAGAGGGAACCCAGGCGTCCGGGCTCCGTGCCGCAGCCCCGCAGGCAACGGAGCTAAAAGACCCCGAAGCCCCGGACTCACCCGCGCCGGCCCGGCTGGCTCCCGCCCAAACCTCCCGCCTGCCCGGAGCGCCCACCAATAGGAGCGGCCGCAGCGGGACGCGCGAGCCAGCTGCCCAATCACAGCCCCAATCTCCAAGGAAACGCAAGGACCCCGCCCCTCCATTCCGGAAAACGTCGTGGCGGGCCCGCCTCTGCGTCACCACGCAGACCCGGAAGTGCGGTGGCCTCCGGTGGGGCGGGGCCTGCAGAGCCCGGAGCGGCTCCCGGGAGGGAGGCTGAGGGAGCGCGCGCGCGGGGCCTGGCCGCTGGGGAGACGGTAGGGCCGGGGGCCTCCTCGCGGCTGGGGGGCGGGGCCTCAACCACGGCAGCGTTGGGGGAGGAGCATGAACCCCCCCCCCCCCCCCGTGAGAGGAGAGGTCTGAGGCGTGAAACCCCCGAGGGCCGGGCCTGGAGGGTGAACCCCCCTGCGGGAAGGGGCGTGAGCCCTCTGAGGCAAGTGGGGGGGTGGGGTCTGGAGTAGGTGGGACATGAGCTGTCTGGGGGGCAGGGATGAAATGGGGAGAGGAGGGCCTGAGCCCCTCCCAGGCAGTAGTGTGTAAGGGGGGGGCGTGACCCCCTCCTTTGGGGGGCCTGAGCCCCTCCCAGGCAGTAGTGTGTAAGGGGGGGGCGTGACCCCCTCCTTTGGGGGGCCTGAGCCCCTCCCAGGCAGTAGTGTGTAAGGGGGGGGCGTGCCCCCCTCCTTTGGGGGGCCTGAGCCCCTCCCAGGCAGTAGTGTGTAAGGGGGGGGCGTGCCCCCCCTTCCTTTGGGGGGCCTGAGCCCCTCCCAGGCAGTAGTGTGTAAGGGGGGGCGTGCCCCCCCTCCTTTGGGGGGCCTGAGCCCCTCCCAGGCAGTAGTGTGTAAGGGGGGGGCATGCCCCCCTCCTTTGGGGGGCCTGAGCCCCTCCCAGACAGTTGTGTGTAAGGGGGGGCGTGACCCCTTCCCTGGGGGGCCTGAGCCCCTCCCAGACAGTTGTGTGTAAGGGGGGGCGTGACCCCTTCCCTGGGGGGCCTGAGCCCCTCCCAGACAGTTGTGTGTAAGGGGGGCGTGAACCCCTTCCCTGGGGGGCCTGAGCCCCTCCCAGGCAGTAGTGTGTAAGGGGGGTGTAACCCCCACAGCTGGAACAGCTGTCCATTCCCCTAACCCTGTTGTGGGGCATTTGTCCTCCTCTGCTGCTCTGTTCCCAAATGTCTCTGGAAAAGGGGCTGCAGGTTCTGTTCCCCTCTGCCCCTGAGGGCTGTGGCTTTGTGATATCTGCTGCCCCGCTCACCCCCCATTGGAGATGTCTCCTGCAGTGTCTCCTCCTAGCAGCTTCCTCTATCGCTTCCAGCAGAACCAGGCCCAGAAGAGCAGGTTCCCCTGCAGGGGAGTCGGGGCTCGTTCTGCTGATGCTAAAGCATCATTTCTGGATGTCAGCAGCTTGTAAGAGCTGCCCCCTCTTGTTGGTCAGTAGGTTGTAGTTTAGTCTGCTCCAAAAGTGACTGGCTGAATCCTAGCATCTCCTAGGGTATGTCTACACTACGAAATTAGGTCGAATTTATAGAAGTCGGTTTTTTAGAAATCGGTTTTATATATTCGAGTGTGTGTGTCCCCACAGAAAATGCTCTAAGTGCATTAACTCGGCGGAGCGCTTCCACAGTACCGAGGCAAGCGTCGACTTCCAGAGCGTTGCACTGTGGGTAGCTATCCCACAGTTCCCGCAGTCTCCGCTGCCCATTGGAATTCTGGGTTGAGATCCCAATGCCTGATGGGGCTAAAACATTGTCGCGGGTGGTTCTGGGTACATATCGTCAGCCCCCCATTCCCTCCCTCCCCCCGTGAAAGCAAGGGCAGACAATCATTTCGCGCCTTTTTTCCTGAGTTACCTGTGCAGACGCCATACCATGGCAAGCATGGAGCCCGCTCAGGTAACCGTCACCCTATGTCTCCTGGGTGCTGGCAGACGCGGTACGGCATTGCTACACAGTAGCAGCAACCCCTTGCCTTGTGGCAGCAGACGGTACAGTACAACTGGTAGCCGTCATCGTCATGTCTGAGGTGCTCCTGGTCGCCTCTGTGAGGTCGATCAGGAGCGCCTGGGCAGACATGGGCACAGGGACTAAATTTGGAGTGACTTGACCAGGTCATTCTCTTTAGTCCTGCAGTCAGTCCTATTGAACCGTCTTATGGTGAGCGGGCAGGCGATACGGACTGCTAGCAGTCGTACTGTACCATCTTCTGCCGAGCAGCCATGAGATGTGGATGGCATGCAGTCCTTCTGCACCGTCTGCTGCCAGCCAAAGATGTAAAAGATAGATGGAGTGGATCAAAACAAGAAATAGACCAGATTTGTTTTGTACTCATTTGCTTCCCCCCCTCCCCTGTCTAGGGGACTCATTCTTCTAGATCACACTGCAGTCACTTACAGAGAAGGTGCAGCGAGGTAAATCTAGCCATGTATCAATCAGAGGCCAGGCTAACCTTCTTGTTCCAATAAGGACAATAACTTAGGTGCACCATTTCTTATTGGAACCCTCCGTGAAGTCCTGCCTGAAATACTCCTTGATGTAAAGCCACCCCCTTTGTTGATTTTAGCTCCCTGAAGCCAACCCTGTAAGCGCCCCTCCCAGCGTCAGAGCAATGGCAAACAATCGGGCATCTGAGAGTACTGTCCAGAGCAGTCACAATGGAGCACTCTGATGGGGCTAAAACATTGTCGCGGGTGGTTCTGGGTACGTGTTGTCAGGCCCCCGTTCCCTCCCTCCCTCCATGAAAGCAAGGGCAGACAATCATTTCGCGCCTTTTTTCCTGAGTTACCTGTGCAGACGCCATACGACAGCAAGCATGGAGCCCGCTCAGGTAACCGTCACCCTATGTCTCCTGGGTGCTGGCAGACGCGGTACGGCTTTGCTGCACAGTAGCAGCAACCCATTGCCTTCTGGCAGCAGACGGTGCAATACGATTGGTAGTCGTCCTCGTCGTGTCCGAGGTGCTCCTGGCCACGTCGGCTGGGAGCGCCTGGGCAGACATGGGCGCAGGGACTAAATTTGGAGTGACTTGACCAGGTCATTCTCTTTAGTCCTGCAGTCAGTCCTATTGAACCGTCTTATGGTGAGCGGGCAGGCGATACGGACTGCTAGCAGTCGTACTGTACCATCTTCTGCCAGGCAGGCAAGAGATGAGGATTGCTAGCAGTCGTATTGCACCATCTTCTGCCATGCAGGCAAGAGATGGGGATGGCTAGCAGTCGTACTGTACCATCTTCTGCCGAGCAGCCATGAGATGTGGATGGCATGCAGTCCTTCTGCACCGTCTGCTGCCAGCCAAAGATGTAAAAGATAGATGGAGTGGGTCAAAACAAGAAATAGACCAGATTTGTTTTGTACTCATTTGCCTCCTCCCCTGTCTAGGGGACTCATTCCTCTAGGTCACACTGCAGTCACTCACAGAGAAGGTGCAGCGAGGTAAATCTAGCCATGTATCAATCAGAGGCCAGGCTAACCTCCTTGTTCCAATAACAACGATAACTTAGGTGCACCATTTCTTATTGGAACCCTCCGTGCAGTCCTGCCTGAAATACTCCTTGATGTACAGGCAAACCCTTTGCTGATTTTAGCTCCCTAAAGCCAACCCTGTAAGCCGTGTCGTCAGTCGCCCCTCCCTCCGTCAGAGCAACGGCAGACAATCGTTCCGCGCCTTTTTTCTGTGCGGACGCCATACCAAGGCAAGCATGGAGGCCGCTCAGCTCACTTTGGCAATTAGGAGCACATTAACCACCACACGCATTATCCAGCAGTATATGCGGCACCAGAACATGGCAACGCGATACCGGGCGAGGAGGCGACGTCAGCGCGGTCCCGTGAGTGATCAGGACATGGACACAGATTTCTCTGAAAGCATGGGCCCTGACAATGCATGCATCATGGTGCTAATGGGGCAGGTTCATGCTGTGGAACGCCGATTCTGGGCTCGGGAAACAAGCACAGACTGGTGGGACCGCATAGTGTTGCAGGTCTGGGATGATTCCCAGTGGCTGCGAAACTTTCGCATGCGTAGGGGCACTTTCATGGAACTTTGTGACTTGCTTTCCCCTGCCCTGAAGCGCATGAATACCAAGATGAGAGCAGCCCTCACAGTTGAGAAGCGAGTGGCGATAGCCCTGTGGAAGCTTGCAACGCCAGACAGCTACCGGTCAGTTGGGAATCAATTTGGAGTGGGCAAATCTACTGTGGGGGCTGCTGTGATGCAAGTAGCCCACGCAATCAAAGATCTGCTGATATCAAGGGTAGTGACCCTGGGAAATGTGCAGGTCATAGTGGATGGCTTTGCTGCAATGGGATTCCCTAACTGTGGTGGGGCTATAGACGGAACCCATATCCCTATCTTGGCACCGGAGCACCAAGCCGCCAAGTACATAAACCGCAAGGGGTACTTTTCGATAGTGCTGCAAGCTCTGGTGGATCACAAGGGACGTTTCACCAACATCAACGTGGGATGGCCGGGAAAGGTGCATGATGCTCGCATCTTCAGGAACTCTGGTCTGTTTCAAAAGCTGCAGGAAGGGACTTTATTCCCAGACCAGAAAATAACTGTTGGGGATGTTGAAATGCCTATATGTATCCTTGGGGACCCAGCCTACCCCTTAATGCCATGGCTCATGAAGCCGTACACAGGCAGCCTGGACAGTAGTCAGGAGCTGTTCAACTACAGGCTGAGCAAGTGCAGAATGGTGGTAGAATGTGCATTTGGACGTTTAAAGGCGCGCTGGCGCAGTTTACTGACTTGCGCTTAGACCTCAGCGAAACCAATATTCCCACTGTTATTACTGCTTGCTGTGTGCTCCACAATATCTGTGAGAGTAAGGGGGAGACATTTATGGCGGGGTGGGAGGTTGAGGCAAATCGCCTAGCTGCTGGTTACGCGCAGCCAGACACCAGGGCTGTTAGAAGAGCACAGGAGGGCGCGGTACGCATCAGAGAAGCTTTGAAAACCAGTTTCATGACTGGCCAGGCTACGGTGTGAAAGTTCTGTTTGTTTCTCCTTGATGAAACCCCCCGCCCCTTGGTTCACTCTACTTCCCTGTAAGCTAACCACCCTCCCCTCCTCCCTTTAATCATTGCTTGCAGAGGCAATAAAGTCATTGCTGCTTCACAGTCATAGAATTCATAGAATCCCCCATTTTTACCCCATATAATTAACCATTACTCCTCTTCTGCACTCCTACCATTGAGACATAACCATCCTCTTACCCCCTTCATATTAAACACTACAAATCCCCCTCATTCTTCTCTTCCACTAAACAATCCACTCCCCACCCCCTCATAACTCATATTCCAACCCCTAATCATTTTTTTCCCTTCCACCCCCAATTTACCACATCCTTCTGAGGCAAAATACACATACCAATGACACCAATTCAATAGAGAAACACCCCTCATTCCCACCCCTACTTATACATCCCAAATCCATTTTCTTAAACACACTACCATATCCACTCCACTTCACCCCTATCCTTTCAAATACCATTCTATTAATTTTTAACCACTTATCCTTATTAACCCATCAATTTTTTCCCAACCTCCAATTTGTTATCCTTTTATCCTACCCCCCCCACACTACCACCCTCCCATTTATATCATCCCAAATTTTGAACAATCCACACCATCCTCCAGATCATTTATGAAGATATTGAACAAACCCCAACCACCCTTCCCCACTTATACCAACTAGACATGACCATTATCACTACCCTTACCCGACAATTTACACTTTCTCCCACCTTGTACATCATCCACCCATACTTCCTTAACTTTGACAAAATATACTCAAACTTTCTAAACAAAAACAATACATCCACTCTTTCCTTCATCCACAAACCATAATCTCATCATAGAACAATTAATTATACAACCTTCCCTTGGAATCCATTTTCTGACACTTTCCTCTCATGTAAGTTCAATTATTCTTTGAACTCCATGATTTTTCAACGAAATTGTATTCCCAATCCTCCTTCTTCCCTTTTTTAAAATTCACTACATTACCTTTTTCCATCATCACTCCTTCATTTCAAAGATAATCAATCAATCACACCCCATTCCTTCACACCCAACTCCCCCATGACTTACTCACTTTTCTAAAATCCCTAACCACCTCTATCTCCACAACACTCTTCCCCATTTTTACAAAGAACCTTTTAGGAAAAAACAAAAACATGATACATTATTTTTCCACATCCTTTCACTATTCTCCTCATTCAGTAACCACATTTTTTTTTTTTTGCCAACATACCTGAAAAACCCTTCTTGTTCTCTTGACATCTTTAACCAATTTCCCTCCTGATAACATTCCTACATCCCTACAATATTTTTATACTCTTCTTCATATTCCAACCTTCCACTTCTTTCTTCTTTTTTTTGACTAATTTCCCCTCCATATTTACTATTCTTTCACTCACGAGCTTACCCCATTCCCTTTCCCCTTCACCCCCAGGGACTCTCCTTCCTGAGGACTTTAATCCTTCCTTAGTGAACTCCCTCACCTTAAAATATTCATTCATCACACAAATAGGGGGATGACTACCAAGGTAGCCCAGGAGGGGTGGTGGAGGAGGGAAGGAAAATGCCACACAGCACTTTAAGCACAGCACTTTAAAAGTTTACAACTTTAAAATTTATTGAATGACAGCCTTCTTTTTTTTTGGGCAATCCTCTGTGGTGGAGTGGCTGGTTGGCCGGAGGCCCCCCCACCGCGTTCTTGGGCGTCTGGGTGTGGAGACTATGGAACTTGGGGAGGAGGGCGGTTGGTTACAGAGGGGCAGCAGTGGCAGTCTGTGCTCCAGCTGCCTTTGCTGCAGCTCAACCATACACTGGAGCATACTGGTTTGGTCCTGCAGCAGCCTCAGCATTGAATCCTGCCTCCTCTCATCACGCTGCCACCACATTTGAGCTTCAGCCCTGTCTTCAGCCCGCCACTTACTCTCTTCAGCCCTCCACCCCCCCTCCCCTCTCCTCCCGGTCATTTTGTGCTTTCCTGCACTCTGACATTATTTGCCTCCACGCATTCGTCTGTGCTCTGTCAGTGTGGGAGGACAGCATGAGCTCGGAGAACATTTCATCGCGAGTGCGTTTTTTTTTCTTTCTAAGCTTCACTAGCCTCTGGGAAGGAGAAGATCCTGTGATCATTGAAACACATGCAGCTGGTGGAGAAAAAAAAGGGACAGCGGTATTTAAAAAGACACATTTTATAAAACAGTCGCTACACTCTTTCAGGGTAAACCTTGCTGTTAACATTACATACATAGCACATGTGCTTTCGTTACAAGGTCGCATTTTGCCTCCTCCCACCACGTGACTACCCCCTCAACCTTCTCCCCTCCCTGTGGCTAACAGCGGGGAACATTTCTGTTTAGCCACAGGCAAACAGCCCAGCAGGAATGGGCTCCTCTGAGTGTCCCCTGAAGAAAAGCACTCTATTTCAACCAGGTGACCATGAATTATATCTCACTCTCCTGAGGATAACACAGAGAGATAAAGAACGGATTTTGGTTGAATGCCAGCAAACATACACTGCAATGCTTTGTTCTACAGTGATTCCCGAGTACGTGTTACTGGCCTGGAGTGGTAAAGTGTCCTACCATGAAGGACGCAATAAGGCTGCCCTCCCCAGAAACCTTTTGCAAAGGCTTTAGGACTACATCTAGGAGAACCGCAAATGCCAGGGCAAAGTAATCCTTTCACATGCTTGCTTTTAAACCATGTATAGTATTTTAAAAGGTACACTCACCAGAGGTCCCTTCTCCGCCTGCTGGGTCCAGGAGGCAGCCTTGGGTGGGTTTGGGGGGTACTGGCTCCAGGTCTAGGGTGAGAAACAGTTCCTGGCTGTCGGGAAAACCAGTTTCTCCACTTGCTTGCTGTGAGCTATCTACAACCTCCTCCTCATCATCATCTTCTTTGTCCCCAAAACCTACTTCCGTATTGCCTCCATCTCCATTGAAGGAGTCAAACAACACGGCTGGGGTAGTGGTGGCTGAACCCCCTAAAATGGCATGCAGCTCATCATAGAAGCGGCATGTTTGGGGCTCTGACCCAGAGCGGCTGTTCGCCTCTCTGGTTTTCTGGTAGGCTTGCCTCAGCTCCTTCAGTTTCACGCGGCACTGCTTCGGGTCCCTGTTATGGCCTCTGTCCTTCATGCCCTGGGAGATTTTCAGAAAGGTTTTGGCATTTCGAAAACTGGAATGGAGTTCTGATAGCACGGATTCCTCTCCCCAAACAGCGATCAGATCCCGTACCTCCCGTTCGGTCCATGCTGGAGCTCTTTTGCGATTCTGGGACTCCATCATGGTCACCTGTGCTGATGAGCTCTGCATGGTCACCTGCAGCTTGCCACGCTGGCCAAACAGGAAATGAGATTCAAAAGTTCGCGGTTCTTTTCCTGTCTACCTGGCCAGTGCATCTGAGTTGAGAGCGCTGTCCAGAGCGGTCAGAATGGAGCACTCTGGGATAGCTCCCGGAGGCCAATACCATCGAATTGTGTCCACAGTACCCCAAATTCGAGCTGGCAACGTCGATTTAAGCGCTAATCCACTTGTCAGGGGTGGAGTAAGGAAATCGATTTTAAGAGCCCTTTAAGTCGAAATAAAGGGCTTCATTGTGTGGACGGGTGCAGGTTTAAATCGATTTAACGCTGCTAAATTTGACCTAAAGTCCTAGTGTAGACCAGGGCTAAGTCTAGCTATCCCTCTCTGCCCTTCTTCTTTGATGTTGGCTGGGAAATAAAGGGAGGAAGGAGAAGAAGGGGAAGGGGCTATGGGAGTGCTACCTGGGACATGAGGTTATCGTTCTTTAATTTCCCCATGTGTGTGCCACTGACCAGCCTCAGTGGTGTGGGAGATGGCCAGGATTTGGTGCCACGATTGGCTGTACCACAAGGTGATGTTATGGTCAAGTGCAGTGGGATGAGGCATGGGTGGGCCACATTGTGGGATGGGGGGTGTGCTCATGGTAATGGAGCTAGTTGGTTTGAGAAGGTATACTAGAATGTCTCTTGCACTGTGTTTGGTCTTTCAGTGCTTGAACCCCCAGATTCTGTGGCTGAAACCCTCTGATGGCCAGATTGTTTGACTGAATAGGTGGAACAAGGCTGCTAAAGGGCCAGGAGGGGTCGCTGTCCCTTCCGCCTTAGAATCATAGGGTTAGAAGGGACCATAAGGCTCATCTACTCTAACTCCTGATCTAACTTCCTTGAGTTCTGTCAGGATCAGCATAAGGAGACAAGGGAGGAGCAAACCGGCATGAAGGTGGGGGCCAAGTGGTAATCTGCCAGTGCTGCCTTACTTCTTCTCAGCAGTCTGGGCAAAGAGTGGCCAGTATCCCTGATTTATATTACGTGCTGTTTAATCCATAGTAGCTGGCTAATACAATCCCAGATTCAATCACAGATGGGCTGGACGTATTGACGGTTGTAGCATTTATTTATATTATAGTAGCATCCAAAAGCCCTAATCACAATCGAGGTATGTTGTGCTAGGTGTTGTATAAAAATGTGGGGAGAGACCACCCCTACTAAGTAATTAAAGACAAGATGCAACAAGTGAGTAAAATATAGTAGAAAGGCTCACATGCTTACATAGACTAGCTAGTGCTCAACTGGAGAGTTCCTGATCATTCTGATAATGTCTTCATATCAGTATATGCAATATCCGCAATCCCCAGTGATCCGCTAACTAGACATGGATTTGGAGGAGGAAAGGGCAGTGGTATTATGGACTGGTTCGGGGACAGAGCTCCAAGCATGAGGTAGTATAGAAGAAAGCACAAAGATGGTTCTGAGAGATGTGGACAAACTGGTGGCTGAGGCAGATGTTATTAGCAAAGCAGAGTCGATGGGAGCAGTGCGGTAAGATACAAATGGGGATAGATAGGGAGGAATGGATACTTAGTTCAGCTTTAGGATGATTGTGTTAGGGCAGTGACTGTGCTTTTTGGATCTGACGTCACGTACAAAGTGCTTCCCATTTTGACAACTAAGATGAGTTTGACTGAAGACTAAGGAGTCCTAGGAGACACTATTAATTCACAATTCCTAGCATATTGAGCACTCCATCTTTCTCCAGGACTCCTAGCAGAGCCAGCTAAGGTGTTGGGTCTCTTGGACTGAGCCTTACTGCCCTGCCCAGCTGCAGTATCTCTGGGAACAGTGACTGTTGTGTGTTGGCTCAAGATCTAATGCTACTGAGAGCCATGGGATTGCTCCACAGTTTCTGGTTCCATTTATGTTAAGTGGGGGCTCTTTGGTTCTGAGCTTTCTGGTGAAACTTAATATAAGTGCTGTTGTGATTACAGTTGTGAAAATCAGATCTTTGCTACCTGCAGGCTGTAGGCAAGACCATTCCCATCAGGGTGTGCAAAAGGGGCTGAATCTAAAGATGAATAGATCTTATTAGTTCCAGAGCTCTAAGGGATGCTGCTGCCTGCCCACTGTATTGGAGAAATAACCATTTTAGTCCATGACCATAGACACATTGGCCCCATGCTGTTCAAGGTCAGCAGTGGGCTATAGATGACCTGCTAGAGGTTGAAGAAACAGTAGAGACATGTGGGCATCTTGGAAGAGAAATTGGGGTGGAAAGCGAGGAACTTGGTGGTCTATACAGTGTGGGGGGGAAAGGAAGGCTACAGGGAGAGACATGGCAAGGGAAGAAGAGCTGTGAGCTGGTCAGACAGGACCTGCACCCCGACTGGCCTTGTAAAATCAAGAACCAACAATGCTCTGGAGGCTTGTAAACAGTTTAGCAAATTGGACCCACAGGGTTAAATTTCTGCTGTTCTGGGGCTTCCCCTCTGATTTCTAGCCCCCTCCTGTTGTGAGAATGTCAGTGGAGTACTGGAGGCAGGTGGGATCCTTCCTACCTGAAGTTGCTGAGCAGGCAGGTGTGCTGGCCTTCTACCCTTGCACTGGCTTCCCAGCTCTGTTCTTTCACTGTGTGGCTGGCTCTCAGAGAGCAGAAGAAGCAGAACAGGTCAGATGAGGATGGGGTATGTCTCTCCTGCCCACTCATAAGCAGCTGCAGAGGAACAATGCAAAAACTGGTTAATTCCTGGTGAAAGTCAGGGATCTCATCAGGAATGTTGCACTGTGTTCTGGGGGCAGGTGTATTATTAGGTGTTTCTCTTCTCTTTCAGTGGTTCCGTGAAGCTGGGGCTCTGGCTTGCTGCCTCCCTGCAGCCATGCACTCCCTCGTGTTCCTCTGTGCACAGAAGGTGGTTTCCCATCACTCCACGGTGCACGGTGCCTTGGAGTTCATCCCAAAGGAGTTGTATCCAGTCTTGTTCAAAGCAGCTTTCATGAACAAGAAGACCCTCGTGCTGCAAGATCTGGTGCAGACATGGCCTTTCCCAGTACTGAGTTTCCAGAAGCTTTTGCGGAAGTGTCAGCATTGTGACCGTGCTCTGCTCCAGGAAAAGCCCAACAAGCTATGTGTGCAGACTGTCATCCTGGGAGTGGTGGCCTACCTGAATGAGGCTCTTGAAGACAGACTCCACAGCCAAAGGTACCTGTCAGCACATAGCTCATTACCTACTAAAAGGGTCATGTGCTGATGAGACTAAACCAGGGGTCGGCAACCTTTCAGAAGTGGTGTGCTGAGTCTTCATTTATTCACTTTAATTTAAGGTTTCGCGTGCCAATCATACATTTTAACATTTTTTAGATGGTCTCTCACTATAAGTCTATATATTATATAACTAAACTATTGTCGTATGTAAACAAGGTTTTCAAAATGTTTAAGAAGCTTCATTTAAAATTAAATTAAAATGCTGATCTTACACTGCCGGCCCGCTCAGCCTGCTGCCGACCTGGGGTTCCGTTCACCTAGGCCAGCAGTGGGCTGAGCGGGGCCGGCGGCCGGGACCCCAGACCATCAGTGGGCTGAGTGGCTCAGCCCGCTGCCAGTCTGGGGTTCTGTCCACCGGCTCCTGCCAGCCAGGGTCCCGGCTACCGGCCCCACTAAGCCCGCTGCTGGTCTGGGGTCCCAGCCCTGTCCACATAGAGTAGGTACCTACCTTCTCCCTGGTTCTAGCCATTCTCTTCCTCCCTCTCTGCACTGAGATGAGGGTGGGAGTGCACTGAGCAGGGGTGAAGGAGCAGGTTGGGGTGCAGGGTCTGGCCAGGAGCTAGAATGAGGGAGGGGGTGAAGGGTTGGGGCAGGAGGTTTGGGTGTGGAGCTGGGCAGCTCCCATTTGGTGCAAGGGGTGCAGATGGGAATGTGGGCGGGTGGGTGGGTGTGGGTGTGTGTGCGTGCAGGAGCTCCCGTTTGGTGCTCAGGGTAGGGATGTGGGGGGTGCAAGAGTCAGGGCATGGAGTGTGGGGGTGTGTGAGGAGGGTGCAGGAGTCAGGGCAGGGGGCTGGGTATGTATGGGGGGTGCCAGAGTCAGGGCTGGTGTTGTCGGGGGGTTCAGGGGTCAGGGCAGGGGGCTGGATGTGTGAGAGGAGGGGTCAGGGCAGAGGGCTGGGGGTGTGGGCTGGGGTCGTGGGGGTGTTCCCAGCCCCCTGCCCTGAGCGGCTCACGGCAGGGGGCTGGAGGGGATACACTGATTCCACCCCCTTCCCCAAGGTCCCCGGAGCAGAGGCCGCAGCATCGGCTGCAGGGAGGGAGAGGAGGAGGGGCAGGAACCCAGCACGCTAGGGGAAGAGGTGGCGGGGAGGGGAAAGCTTCCCTGCCCTGCAAGGAGAGAGCTGAGGGGGCGGAGAAGAGCGGGCCGGGCTGGGCAGGATTTTTAATGGCACGCTGCTGTAGAGATAGCCATATGCCATTAAAAATTGGCTCGTGTGCCATCTTTGGCACGTGTGCCATAGGTTGCCGACCCCTGGACTAAACCATATGGGGAGGAGGTGGGAGAGGAGACTTATAGTAACACACTGACAGTGGAGTTCTCAAACATTTTTCTTGCTCGGCCACCCTTTGAAAATATTTGAGGTTGTGATGACCCCACTGCCCCAAAAGTGATAGCAAAATACTCTACGTACTCATGAGCACTAAATGAAGCATGGAATCATTATCCTTGCAGCCAAAGGCACTGAAGCCTCTCAAAAAGTGTAAAGCAACAGTTTTCAGGAATAAATACGTGGACATTTAAGAAATACATTTTCTGGGTAAACAAAATAGACAACAGGATAGAGTTTGGGGAGTTGGAAGCCTCTTTCAGTGATTGTGGGAATAATCATAACGTCCAAGGATTGTGGCTTTCTGTGCAACTATATTCAAATAACAGGTTCTTTTCTATATTCAAATAAGTATCTGGACACTTCGTGCGAGGGGTGCTGCTGTTTTGAAGCGCACAGCTTTTCTTTTCAATCACAGCTCCAGGGACCTCAGGCAGACCCTTAAATCATCCTCCACATTCAGTTTTCATTTTTGAAATATGAACAAATGTCCATGATTTGGCATTGCCACGCTTACTTCTGTGCTGCCTTCAGAGCTGGGCGACTGGAAAGCAGCGGCTGTTGTACCCCTCCCCTGACAGTCTCCTCTATTTGGGAGCTTGAAATATGGTAACCCTAGCAAAGGATCTAAAGGTTATCACAATATTTTTTGTGATCTCATGACACCCCTATAATAGCCTTGTGACCCCCTTTTGGGTCGGGACCCCCAGTTTGAGAAACACTGCACTAACATGTTAAATGTTATTGACCTGGGGCCTCTGGCCCTTTAGTACAGCCTGCAGTGATGATCCAGTAGGGCTGGGACAAGCTTTGCTTTTGTTCTTGGTTGTGTGACAAGAAAATATGGTGGTTTCCATATCTGGGCTTGTAGTTCCAATTGAAATTGCACTCTGTGTCCCTCTGGAGGAAAAGCTGCTGATCTGAGGCGCTGGGTGCTGACTTAAATCTGGGTGGACCAAATGTTCCAGGTATCTCTTACCATGTTAAACCTGGCATCCAATTTCAGTTTCCCCAAATTGCAGTGGAAGGGGATGACTCTCAGGTAGCAGCTGCTTGGTAAATGCCTCCTCTGGCTCCTTGCATGAGATTGTGCTGCAGACTGCACTTTGGAAGCAGGCTCTTTGGCCATTATGCATGTGGTTTCTCTGCATTGTGGCACTACCAGCCTGTCTGCAGCATTAAAAAACTTCCATTTGTCAAGTGACAGGCCATAAGCAGCTTTGGGAGGTGGGACACAGTGCAGTAATTCCTGCTGGTTAGCCACTGGTTTTATCCATCCATGAGCATTGCTCTCTTCCCTTTGGAAATGGAGGGAACAATGTTAAATCTCAGCCTATCTTAATCATTATGCAGTGCCCAAAAGTACAAAGTGCTTTTTATTTTTTCTGTAAAACAAAGTCCCTGCCAGGGAAGGCAGTGAGATTCACTGGATAGGGGTTGGAGCGGAAACCAGGAGACCTAGAATTAGGAGACCTGCTTTGTGACCGTGGGCTTTCCCCCTCTGTGGAACAGGGACAGTGATACTTAGCCTCCTTCAGAAAGCTTTGAGATCTATGCCTGAGATGCTCTAAATCTTATCGGCACTGAATAGTGTCACTCTTATTTTACAGTGGCGGGAGATGGAGTGGGGAAGACTAAGGGTTGCAGTAAGATCATGTGGTTCCTCTGTTCTAGAATGAACAAGTGACCAAAAGACTAAAGATAGGCAGAGCCAGAGGGCGTGCGCCTGAACTGCTAAACCAAAGAGCTAATCCTTAGGCTGCGTGTCACATCGTCTGAGCAACACAAGTGGCCCAGTCTTTACAGCTGCCACGAGAAGGGAGATGAGGCCCCAGTCCTGGAGTGAGTGTGTGTCTTTTCAAGCCAGTAATTGATACGAACACCTCTCCCTCCCCCGCACTGGGTTCTGGTTCCCAAGCCACTGGGAGAGTGACTATATGGCCCTGTGTGGGGAATGATCCTGCAGTGGCTGGGTGAATGAAGTAGATGACCCAATAGGTCTTTTCAGTCTCTCATTTCTTTACTCCTTTTTTCTTGTCTTCCCCAGCAAGAGGCAGCGCCTGCAGGTTCTGGACATGACAGGGCTTCAGGATGATGGAATAGACCAGGGCCCAGAAAGCATGAGCCTGTGGTCCAGGACAGTGACCCTGGCAAAAGCCTGCATCGACATTTCCAAACACCAGAGCAAGTGCACGAAGCGCACCCCAAAGCGGAGGAAGGGCCCCTACAGCAGCTCGGTGGCTCTGCTGCCACCACAGCCTGTGTCTGTGGAAGTCCACGTGGATCTTTTTGTGAACAGCACCTCTTATGGAGTCCTTAAAGATGCCTTGCAGAATAATGCCAACAGCATGCTGCGGCTGAAGTGCCGGGATTTCCGGGCTGAGGAGCTGCCCATTGCAAGTACCGTGGGGCTCCTGGAGTTCCTGGATCCCACGGGTGTTCGGCAGGTAGATTTGAGATTCAATAACCTGGGGCTGTCTGGCCTGAGGGTGATTCTCCCGCACATGGCAAAATTCACCAATCTGGTCAGCCTGAAGCTGCCCTACAGCAACATTGATGTAAGACGGCTCTCAGCGGGGATGGAAGGAAGCCTCCACTACTTCGCCACCCAGCTCAGTAGATTGTCCTGTCTCAAGGAGCTGAATTTGGGCTCCTCCAGGCTTTCCGGAAAACTAAGGCAACTGCTGGGGTAAGCTGTTTGTAGGGCCGAGGGGGCCCAGCTGCGGGCTGCACTGGCAAATTGACAGGAGTGTGAGTGACTCTGTATAATAGATTAGGCTGCAGCTCTTCTTTTGTGACCCCTGGAGACTACAGGTCCCATCATGCAATGCTCCATCTTGATCAGAGAAGCTTCTTTGCATGTTGGGACCTGTATTCTGCAGCCTCCTTTAACATGAAAGTTTGGCCAGTGCACTGCAGGTCCCATCGTGCAATTCTCCGAGCATCCAGACTTTATAACTAGCATTAGGGATATTCGTCACCATACGAGTCTGCAGCTTTAACATTGGTCTTGATTTGGCCCTGAGCTACTTGGTGGTGTGGCCTTTTCCAACCATTTTGATTTCTGTCCTCCGCGAGCTACAGTAGTTATCTAAAATGGAACTTACGCTTACAATCTTTCTTCCCACCAGCGATTTGCAGGGTCCCTTGGAAAGCCTGGAGCTGGCCTTCTGCTACCTGCTCCCCAATGACCTCGCCTATCTTTCCCAAAGTCTTCACACCCCCACCCTGAAGAAGCTAGACCTCAGCGGCAACAACTTGTCTGACTCGCTTCTCCAGCCCTTCCAGCATCTCCTAGAAGAGGCCTCCTCATCCCTGCTCCACCTGGACATCATGGAGTGTCGCCTGATGGATATCCATCTGGAGTCGCTTCTCCCCGCCCTGTGCCGCTGCTCTCAACTTCGCTACCTGGGGGTGTTTGGCAACCCCCTCTCTACACGGGGGCTGAAGAACTTGCTGCAGAGGACCATGGGCCTATTGTACTTGCAGCTCGTCATTTACCCCTACCCTGTGGATTGCTACAGTGAGAACCTGCCATGGCCCCCCACCTCCTCTAACCTCTTGAATGGTTCTGTGGATGAAGAGAAGTTTTCCAGGGTGAGTGCTGAGCTGCAACAGATGCTGCTGACTGCCAGCAGGACCGATGCCATCTGGACCACGAACTTATGCAGGCACAATACCTTAGATTATTTTAATTTGTAGCTCACCAGGAATGCAAAACTAAGGAGAAAACAAACTGATCAGGCTGATCATTTTTAATGCCCCTTCAAAGTTGAGCGGTTCAGTGGACACAGCAACAACATGTTTATACACGTTTTTAACAACATCTGTTTAGTGCATGAATTCAAATGGAAGTTCTCTTCTCCCCTTCTGCACTCCATTCAGTAAAGCTGAGATTAAAGCTGCCAGGCTCTATGCCTCTTTATCCATGGCTTATCCCAGATAGTGCCGTTGCTATCCTGTCTTGCTGTGCCTGTGACCCCCTTACCGCATGTAGCTTCTTACGTGCCCCTTACATGACTCTTACGTAGCCCTGCAGAATTCTTAGCAAAGTGTACTAGCCACAGTACATATGCAGCAGCCCAACAATTAGAAGGCCCTTCTCAAAACACCGATCCGTTCCTAGCTTCTGAGCAGTCTGCTCCTCTTTCCCTGCATGGATTACCTCATCTGAAAACCCCTCTCTCCACTTTTCTTCTAATGTATCCCATCATTCTCTCACACGTGTGCAGAGGGCTTAGAAATTTTACCAGTCATGTAGCAGCCAGAGCACTAAACCCACTAGCCAGACAGATGTGAAAGGTGGGGAGACCTATATTTAGGGACAACTCTACTATATTCCCGCTCGGCTGCTGCAAGTGAGGTGTCTTGGGTTACTCTCTCCTTCCCCCAGCCTTCACTTTGGAGTCCTCCTGTGAACTGAATATTTCTTCCATCTCTGCTGTTGCATGGAACTTTCCTAAGATTCAACAAAATAAAATTGGCCCAGTTCTTATCTATTTCCCAGCTGCTTGCAGAGTATAGTAGTGGTGAGACTGACAACACCGCTGTCGGTTTTCACTGCTGCGGGTGCGTGGAAGATCTGAGTACCAGCAGAGGCATTGGCGTGGTATGCAGACTGACTGTTCACACTCCGCTTGTATGCAGAAAGCTTCTTCACAACAGAGAAGGCTAGAAACTTACTTTTTTTTTTTTTTTAAATGAGAGCTTAGATCCTGCAGAAGATGATTCATGCTCCCTGGTATACTTACCAGCATGGGCATGTGGAGTTTTTCAGCTTGGTGTAGGGGCTGAGTCTCCCTTCCCCTTCCCTACGCTCTCACTTCTTCTCCGTTTGAAGAATACTTTCTCTGGAAAGCCTCGTTACCTGGCCGAAGTAGGTAGTGTTACAGTCACAGCCAAGGCTGAAGTCCTGTTCTCTCCACTGAGACGCACTTCTCCTCTAAACATTTTGTCCTCCTCTCCCTATCTCTCTGGCTTGGCACACACCCAATACTTCATCTCCCTGGTCGATCTATCCACTCGCTCCAACCTCTATGGGGACAGCTTTTGCTGATCCCTCTTGGCTTCTTCTCCATTCAGCTTCTGGTCTCCTATTGCCTTGAATATCAGACTTTTGGTGTAAAAGCCCCTTTGCTTGGAACTCAAACTAGAACTTTTACTAAGTACTACAAAATATCCAATAGGGAACAATCCTGTATTAGCTGAGAGGGACATAATAGATCTCTTCCATCTACCTTATGCTCTCGGCTTCTGCACACCATTCCATACTCAAGCCGTGCAGCTATCCAGTTCCCTTATGGGGTGGGTTTATTGCTACCTGTCTAACTTATGTCTGGTACTGGCTTCTTTTTTCCCTCATTTGTAAAATCCCACAAGGTTACTTTCATGGCCCTCTGCCCTATCTACCTGCATAGTCATCTTATCACTCCCTTCTAGCTTTAACTCAGGCTGATTATACTCTACTGCACATAACTTGACACCTTCAACGATCCCTCTCTTGACCAGTTAAACTTCTGGGCTCATTTAAACTCCCATCAGCTTAAAGTCTTCAAGCCCCACCTGTTTCTCTTGGGCAGGAGGACCTCCCTCCCATCCAACTCCATTTCCCCTCTTGACACACACTTGTGGTTTGTTTCTGCTATCTGTAACTTTGGCATCGGACTCTGAACTCTCCTCTCCTTCCCACCTCCTCTATGGCTGCATATTTGCTTAGATAAACTTCTTTGATCTGGCCACTTAGAGGGAATAATCGTGCCCAATGGGGGGTTAATTTTGTGTGAGACTGCCCAGCTAAGGGACTTTGAAAGCTAGTAACTCATTCCTTCAGCACATTACCCTTGTCAGTTTTACCTGGGCTGCCCCTCTGCTTAAATTCTCCTGTTACTTTAGCCAGTGAATGCAGCCCCTCTCCAAAATCCACTCACATCTGTATATATCCTCTGTTTATCAACCCCATCCTCAAACAACTCCACTAGATCCTTGAGCGTTCAAGATCCATTTAAAAATATACTTTGTACTAACCTTACCCGGCCACTTTATCTCACATTACTCCCCCTTCCCTGCCTGTGTAAAGCTGGCCGCCTCTCTGGCCCTTCACACAGTCTCCATACTCCAATCTCTCTTCAGATGAAAGATACTCTACAAGATAAAGTGTCTTATGACCTGGGGACTTTCTCACTGGAACAACTCTTTAACTAGCTGCCCTTTGGCAGAGGTCACTCTGCTGCTGGACACACTTGTTTGAATCAAGACTTGTCTTGGAGCCACTGTCTCTTTCTACCACCCCGCTCTGTCCCAGTGACGTGGAAAACAAGTACAATGTCGCATTCACAGTGATGACATCGCTGCAGGAGCCGCTAGCAACACGGTGTGAGCGCAAAGCCCTGGTTTCAATAACAGCGCTTTGGCCATTAGAATCATAGACATGTAGGGCTGGAAGGGACCTTGGGAAATCAAGTCCAGTCCCCTGCACTATGGCAGGACCAAGTAAACCTAGACAATCCCTGACAGGTGTATGTCCAACCTGTGTTTAAAATCTTCCAATGATGGGGGATTTTAACAACCTCCCTTGGAAGCCTGTTCTAGAGCTTAACTGTAGAGTTAAGTTAGAGTTAGAAAGCTTTTCCCAATATCTCACCTAAATCTGCCTTGCTGCAGATTAGGCCCATTACTTCTTGTCCTACCTTCAGTGGACATGGAGAACACTTGATCCTCATTCTTTTTATAGCCACCTTTAACATATTTGAAGACTGGTATCAGGTCCCCCATCAGTCCGCTTTTCTCAAGACTAAACATTTTATTTATTTAACCTTTCTTTTTACCTCAGGCTTTCTAAACCTTTGGTCATTTTTGTTGCTCTCCTCTGGACGCTCTCCACGTTGTCCCCATCTTTCCTGAAGTGTGGCGCCCAGACCTGGACACAGTAGTCCAAGTGTTACTATGTGTGGGGCGAATAAAGTGAGAAGAGATTAGTGTTTGAAGGCGATGGGTGGCAGGCTGGCTCCCTCTTCCCTAACTCCCCTAGCAGTGTGCCCTGAGCCCCAGGGGGTCTCCAGAGCTCTTAACACTTTAGAGGGGGGAAGTCACCTTTGAGGGTATGCTGCTAGTCTTGTCTATCTGCCCAAGCTGGGAAGCGTGCTCCCAGCTCTGGTGCAGCTGTATCCTAAGTGTGTCTTCCTCTCTGTATGTCAGCTCCCATCTCCTCCTCCTCCCACCCTTGGCCTTGCCCACCTACCCCTCCCTCCTTCATCTCCTCCTGCTTACTTCTCCACACCCTTTCATGCTGCCCCCTAAGCCTAGAACAGTCCCCATTATTGACTCCCCTCAAATCTGACATCTTTGGGCACCTCCAGTCACTCATCATCTCTGCAGCCCCCTCTATTCCTGTCCTCACGCCTGCTCTTAAGAGATGAAGCTCACTCTCTTGCCTAGCAATCTGCCCTGTCCCCTCTGGTCTGTCTTTTCACCATGTCTATTTCAGATCCATGGAGCAGGCACTTTTGGTGGCTGTGCACATCAACTGTACTAGACCCCTCTACAGCAATTAAATAATCTTTTTCATTCCCTTTCCGTCATGGACTACTATGAGCCTCTCACTCTAGCCGAAGGCAGTGGTGGCTACTGATGGTTCAACCAGTGTTTTATTTTTGGAAATGATCTTGCATTTGTACAGCACCCTCTCAGCTAGAAAGATCTCACGGTGTTTTGCCAACTACATACGAGAGATTGTCTCATCTGTTGACGACATGCAGCCACCTCTGGGGTGAAACACATTCAACAGTGCAACAACACGTTAGGACACAAGCAAAGAATGCTGTGTCCATTTAAATCAGAGGAGGGGATTCAGGGAGGCAGAAAGTAATTGCAGGAGGTGGAATTTGATCAGTACACTGGTGTTTTGACGTTTGGAGAAAGCACTGTGAGAAATCAGCAGGATCCTGGTTTTATGTGTCCTTGGAAAAGGGATTGCCATATTTCCAGCTGCGAGTGAAGTCTACAATAGCCAACTTCTCCAACCACTGAAATGGTAGGAGGGAACTAGCCCTTCGCATCTCAAACAGGTGGGTCAGGGTAGAAGAGAGATTCCTCACATCCGCAGATCATTGCCGGAGAAACCAGGCAAGCTACTCTTTCAAGTCTTAATCCAAGGGGCCAAACATTCAAATAGTAACATGCTGTATCCATTCAAAACCAAACAGCAAAGCATACCCTGCCCCATGATGCCCTATGGGACACTCTCCCAATCTGATCTTTCCAGAGGATGTTTGGGGGCTTTGCCTGTAGGTTGCAGTCATGATCATGAGACCAAATTGGATTGCAGTGGAGAACAGTCTGAAGAGCAATTTCTTTGGGACTTGTTAATCCACAGCAAAGGGAAAGTTTGCTGTCCAAAGCAAAGCTGTACTGATATTAACATACCATGCTCGACATGACTCCCCTGAAAGGGTTAGCTTCCATAAGGCAGAAGCTGCCAACAACAGTTGTCTCACTTTTGGGACACCATCAACCAATGGGAGTATGTTCAGATGATATAATAGCTTCTAACTTGTGTGTCATTGGTTGAAAGTGTTTGTTGCTCGCTATTATCCTGGAGAGTTATGGGGTGGAGTTGGACAGAGATTCTCCCTTTCTTATTCAGTTCAGCCAAACTCATTAAATGCCGGACTTGTTTCTCTAATTCTCCTCTGCACTGTGGATTAGTATGGTCCAAAACCTCCAAGTCACTTCTCAGGGCCTAGAATTGAGGATAACGTGAAATTACTGACCATGTAAATTAGCTGAGATTCTTTGGGCACTAGCCCGAGCAATGCTTAGCCACTTTCAAAGCATTAGGGCCTAGACATGGCCATGTCATCCCCTTGCTCTTGCCAGGCAGTAAAAAAGGCTGCACATTGGGTTTGGAAAGTGATATGCTATTTACTATGACTAATCTTGAGTGGGCAGTTCAGGGATGTCCGCCACAGTGATACACAAAACTAATGCAAGAAGTTCAACATTATTAACGATAAAAGGCATATGTCCAGTCTCAGAATAATCCACAGAGCAACATCCAGTGTCGGTTCATTCTTCTGAGAGATTACAAGGAAAGACAAAATGCATTAAACCCTTAGTCCAGCCTTTAAATTAATTGATTTAAAATAATCTAACCTGGAATGATAAACTGGTTCAGAAATACATTCCAGTCGATCAGTCACTGTTTCCATTATGCATAAGATTCAGTAGTTTTAATCCCTCCCAATTTCTGTCACATAGGGGAGAGCTAGTTCATTTAAAGCAAAATTTAGGTGACAGATTCCCTTACACTTGGAACCGATCTTGCTGCTTTCCACTAGGCAGGCTCCCTCTGATACAAATTAAAGTATCTGCCAGTTTCTTGAAGTCCACATTGAGCACATTATTACTGTAGAATAGACAGCAATAAAACTTTTCTATTTTGGCATTTGCATTGGCCGCCTAAAGCCTCTTTTGCTAGAGAGGGCCAGCGTGGTCATTCGAGCATAAAGCATGAGTAACCGGAGCATCCATCTATTAGTGTGAACTGTTCTTGCACTGTAATTAGCTATTAGATAACAACGGGGTTGTAGTTCTTGTCACTGGGACTTTTTTCCCCTATAGTCTCAGCTATCCCCCTTCTAGATTCCACCAAGAGATTTTAATGAAACCCCTACAGAAATGTACCTGGCCGTGTTCTGTATTAGCCATTAGAAGCCTGTGATTCACCTTAGAAAAAAACCACCACTTAATTCCTGAACAATAAGTGGTCCTCTTTTTATGCCCTATACAGCCTGGCTGAAAATACATCCCAGGGGAGCAAATACTAATGGTTTGTGCTTCCTTGACACCTTCCATTGCAGGATCTCGCCAGGCTTTACAAACACTATTTACTTTAGTCTTTTAACTTGTCTTGTGAGTTACAGCCATAGCACTGTTCTCATGTGACAGCTGGGGAAACTGGAGCATATCAGTGTGGCTTTCCTTGGCTGTTCTGTTTCCATGTTTGTAAGGGCAAATAGCATCAGCTGGATCATGAGCTTCTAGGGCAGCGGTTCTCAACCTATTTACCATTGTGGGCCACATATGCAGCTCCAATCTACTAGAATTCTTTGAGGGGGTCAATGAGCATGTGGGCAAGAGGGATCCAGTGGATATAGTTTATTTAGATTTTCAGAAAGCTTTTGACAAGGTCCCTCACCAAAGGCTCTTAAGCAAAGTAAGCTGTCATGGGATGAGAGGGAAGGTTCTCTCATGGACTGGTAACTGGTTAAAAGATAGGAAACAAAGGGTAGGAATAAATGGTCAGTTTTCAGAATGGAAAGAAGTAAATAGTGGTGTCCCCCAGGGGACTGTCCCCAGTCCTATTTAACATATTCATAAATAATACGGGAAAAGGGGTAAACAGGGAGGTGGCAAAATTTGCAGATGATACAAAACTAAGCAAGACAGTTATGTCCCAGGCAGACTGTGAAGAGCTACAAAAGGATCTCACAAAACTGGGTGACTGGGCAACAAAATGGCAGATGAAATTCAATGTTGATAAATGCAAAGTAATGCACATTGGAAAACATAATCCCAACTATACATATAAAATGATGGGGTCTAAATTAGCTGTTACCACTCAAGAAAGAGATCTTGGAGTCATTGTGGATAGTTCTCTGAAACCATCAACTCAATGTGCAGTAGTGGTCAAAAAAGCAAACAGACTGTTGGGAATCATTAAGAAAGAGAGAGATAGTAAGACAGAAAATATCCTATTGCCTCTATATAAATCCATGGTACGCCCACACCTTGAATACTGCGTGCAGATGTGGTCCCCACATCTCAAAACAGAGATATTGGACTTGGAAAAGGTTCAGAAAAGGGCAACAAAAATGATTAGGGGTATGGAACGGCTTCTGTATGAGGAGAGATTAATAAGACTGGGACATTTCAGATGGGAAAAGAGACAACTAAGGGGGGATATGATAAGTGGTCTATAAAATCATGAAACGTATGGAGAAAGTAAATAAATTATTTACTCTTCATAACACAAGAATTAGGGGCCACCAAATGAAATTAATAGGCAGTAGGTTTAAAACAAATATTTTTTCACAGAACGCACAATCAACCTGTGGAACTCCTTGCCAGAGGATGTTATGAAGGCCAAGATTATAACAGGGTTCAAAAAAGATCTAGATACACTCATGGAGGATATGGCTGTTAGCCAGAATGAGCAGGGATGGTGACTCTAGTCTCTGTTTGCCAGAAGCTGGGAATGGGTGATGGGATGGATCACTTGATGATTATCTGTTCTGTTCATCCTGTCTGGGGCACCTGGCACTGGCCGCTGTCGGAAGACAGGATACTGGGCTAGATGGACCTTTGGTCTGACCCAGTGTGGCTATTTTTATGAGTGTGAGAGCTCAGCAATCGAGGAGGCAGAATTGGTCAGCCTCCCTGCCCAGCCTCGCTGGGGGGAAAAGTCTCCCAACCATCCACCTGGCACCTGACCCTGCAAAGCCCTGGAAAACAGTCACTTTCCAGGAGTTATCTGGCTACTTGCCAGTGTGTCAATTCCACCACCCCCTTGTTTTTATCCATCTCAGAGTTTCCCTTCCCAAGCAAGGTGCTGGGTAGGAGCATTGCTGACCTGAACCTCACATTCCCAGGAATTAAGGCTGTGATACTGGAGAGCTATTTGCTGTGGAGTGAAACTCCCCGACCCCAGAACTCCCAACAGGCTACAGCTGGGACCATCCACCACCACCCCAGCTCCAGGGCAGACCTCGTCAGGCTGCCCACTCATCAAGTAGAGGGACAGTCTGTAACCTCAATCTGCCTTTTTTCTCTTCCAGGCTGGCTCTAGTTCTCAGGCCCCTGGGATCTGCTTCCTTCCAGGCACAGCAGAGAGATCCTGCTCTACCAGGGCAGGCTACTGCTACCTGCTTTCTCTCTTTTCTGTTCCAAACCCCTCCTTCAGCTGGGGCATTTCAGGTAGATGTGAGACAGAGCCAGCTGCAGCTGCTCTGCATTTTGCATCACTACCCTCTTCATGCCCCACCCCATCACAAAGGTTGTATGCCCCCTCAATGACCTTGGTCTTTCGAGAGGTGACTAAAAGGCCGTTAGTCTCTCTCATGGGACTTCAGACACCGGTGTGCCCTTTTGTGCAACAGTCTTCCAAGAATTGTCCCCTCCAGCCATAACGGTGAAATACAGTTCATTCACCCTGCTTGCCAGCTCAGTACAGGCAGGAAACCCAAATGGGCTGTTGCCATCAAGGCCCCAGAGAGTCACAGTCTAACAAGTGACGAGCATTATCATGATTTCTTCCGTGAGGCGGCCACGCTGGCTAGCAGGTCTCTGCTTTGGGGAAGTTAAGGTTACCCTGATTCCATTTAATGGATATTAACCAAGAAAACTATGGGAAATGAGTGAGCCCAACGCCAGCGCTGTGACCCATGTACACTCCCGTGGCGCAGCACTGCTAGCCAGCCATAGAGAGAAGCATTTTGCAATCTTGTTGGGCTTGGGAACAAGGAGTTGCTAGACTGGATCAGAACCGAGGTCCATCTAGCCCAGTCTCCTGTCTCTGACAGTGGCCAACACCAGATACTGCAGAGGAAGGTGTAAGAATCCAGTAGCAGATGTGGGATAACTGGAGATCATCCTGGTCTCGAAAGGTGAGAGATCAGCTTAAACCCTGAGGCAGGAGATGACAGGACAAGGAGTAATGGTCTCAAGTTGCAGTGGGGGAGGTTTAGGTTGGATATTAGGAAAAACGTTTTCACTAGGAGGGTGGTGAAACACTAGAGTGCGTTACCTAGGGAGGTGGTAGAATCTCCTTCCTTAGAAGTTTTTAAGGTCAGGCTTGACAAAGCCCTGGCTGGGATGATTTAATTGGGGATTGGTCCTGCTTTGAGCAGGGGGTTGGACTAGATGACCTCCTGAGGTCCCTTCCAACCCTGATATTCTATGAGGTTTAACATCCCTTCCATCTGGTGATCTCAGAGAATCTCGTGAACATTAGAATTGCCTCATACCCACAACACAGGGGCAACTCCTTTAGGGCCAAGCTATTAGCTTCTCAGCTGAGCTGTGATAGCTCCTTCCATTGATCTGCCCTTCCACCTATTGAGCCCAGCTGTAGAAGACTGTGCTTATCGATCACCACCCAGTTCTTTTTCTAGGCTATCTTTTCTTTACCTAGCCTGGGTTTTGGATGGGGAGACATTACAGGAACCCCCACTTGTTGCCTTTTGCCCAAACATTTGCTGTCATAAAGCAATTCCTCTTTCTGCAGACTCTACTGCTCCACGGGCATAAAATGATCTAGGAATGTCCTGCATTGACGCTCTGATGTGGAGGCAAGAGATAGTAGGATTTACGTACTCCCTTTAGCGTGCATTAGTGAAGTTTAAATATACATGGCCACAAATTTATGCACAAAGCTATATGCTCCCTCTAATTGAGAGATTAATGGGCTGCTGCTGAGAGTAGCTCCAGGCTTATTAACATGGAGTCTGTTCACCTCCTGCCACCTGCTGAAATCAACAAGGGGCATTAAGTGCCTGGTGCTTACTGCAAATTACAGGGAACTTCAAAGTGGTGCACTCTAGGATGTGGCGAAGTGACAGCTCGTGTGAGGAAACCAATAACGCTAAACACTGGAGCCCAGGAAATGCTGGCAGAGAAAGCCCT